GTTTGGTGTCATTGACAATGCAATACGAAGAAAAAATGGTAAAGAAGATGAAAGTGATAAAGAAGAAATTCTTAATGATGCTGAAATGAAGAGTTATAGTACTTGAGATAATTTGAAGATTCAAATTGATGACAATCTAGAGAATTTAAGGTGTTTTGAGTTAAATAATATTACTAATGTTGATGTTGGTACTAGTAGTAGAACTAATGTTCATAATATTGGTGTTGATACTAGTAGTAACACTAATAACCCTTTTGATGATACTGATATTGATGAATATCTAAGAAATAATAAGAAAGATGAAGACAATGAAGGTAGTTTTAGTTTACATGACACACAAACAGATTATTTATTTTAAGTTTTTTAATTGTTAGTTAATGAAAAATTACTTAAATTATATATGAATTTTTATTTGAACCATGTATTTTAAGATGATTGAATTATGTATGAAATTTTTTTTTCCAAGATTTTATAATTTTATTTTATTTTATATTTTTCATACCATGTAAAAAATACATTTTTGACAATCTTGCCTCACACTATGATAGTCAAGCAACTATGTTTAAGGCATTTAGTAAAATTTACAATGAAAAATCTAAATATATTAGCTTGAGAGATGAATATATAAAGCAATTAATTTCTGATAGGTAATTACCATTGTGTATGTCAGATTTTGTAATAATTTAATAGATCCTTTCACTAAAGGTCTCTCGAGAGATTTAGTTTGAAACACTTCTTCTATTATAGGATTAAGACCATTTAATTAAACTTACCACTAATAGGAACCCAACTTTTACTAGTACCTTTACTGGTAAGAAGTTTTATGGTAATAACAAATTATTGTAAAAGTTGTGTATAGTAATTTCTGTATGACATTGAAATTTATAAAATTAGTATTTCAAATAAATAGGAGGATGAGTGATTATCACTATTAATGAAATCTCAGTGTAAGAAAGAAATTTCACCTATATAAACATATGAAGTGGTGTCATCTCAACAAAAGTTTGGAAAACTTTGTAAATATTCATGAATTCAGAAAGTAGCAAAAGACTATATTGGTGCTGAAATAATGGTGAACTTTTGTTTTGGATTAATTGGATCATGTGCGTATTGTTCCTAATTCTATTGAATGAAATCCTAATTTTAACTTTTTGGCCATCATGATTTCTTTAGGGTTTTGAAATGTTTATATTAAGAAGATGTTTAAATCTAAAATACCTTTTTATATATATGAAACATGGTATCACATAATATTACAAGTTAAGTGGGGGATTGTTGTTAAAATATAGCTTATATATTAGGTAGTTAAAAGAGAACTTTATCCCATATTGGAAAGATAAGAGATTTTGTTGTGCCTTATAATGTGAGGGATATCTAATTAATAAATTTGGATGTTGGAGGGAAAATTTAAAGGGAAAACTAAAATTAATATATATAATGGCATTTGACATTATGCAATATAAATGATTTTTATTATTATTTTTAAAATTAATTAATCTAATAATTATGCATGACATCTCCTGCCAAGTTGCTTAAATAATTTAAATGAAGAGCTGTCTTTTAAACTCTATAAACATATTAGTCTAAAGAGGTGTATCTCTAAACTTTACAGACACATTGGTCTAAAATGGTGTTATTTTTTTTATAAATACAAGTTTAATGTTGGCAGAAATTAATTAGAAATAAACTTCTTCTCTCTCTAATTTTCTCTACAAACTTTTTGTTTATATTTATCAAAACCAAAACAGAAATTTTTAATAAACTTATACAAGTTATTGTTTATAAGTTTAAGGTTTTGTTGTATCATAAAGATATATTGTTTTAATCTTACAACAAATATAGTTGGGGCAATTAATATCTTAAATATAGTGATCTTCATGTCTCAAAGTCTATTTATTATACTCACTAACATTATAAAAGCTTTATACCTTGAATGATTTTGAGGGATATAGCTCCAATGGATATCTCGGATATCTTCTTCATTTTATTTTAGTTGATGTTTGAATGAAATTGAATCCAGAAAGGTCAAAAACAAGAATGATAAAGCCAACAAATTACAGTTATACAAGTATGATGTGAGGGAGCTCCTAGTCTGCCTTAGCTTATAATTCCAATGATAAACACCTCAGGTTAGTAGTGTGAAAATGATGATTATGGATCTTTAGGTCATTATGGGGAAAGATGGTTAGCTTATAGAAAGGAGACAACTCTGATAAAAGGGGTTATGTTGGTTTTTTCGTTTCCAGTTATTTATAAAAAGTGGTTTGAAAATTATAATATTTTTTTAGGTGAAAAAGAAGCTTGTTATAAGTCTATATGGGATGTTCGAAAAGATGTAAGAGACAAAGGTTTGAATAAATTTTTTGGTACCTAAAAGCATTATTAGGGGTCATTTCTACTCCATTTCTCCTTTTTCTTTTTACTCTGTCTTCTAGTTTTTTGTTCTTTCTTCTCCCCAGACCCTAGGAGAAATGGAGAGATTTTAGAGCTTGTAAATTGATGGAATCTCAACCTTTAATGTTCAAAAAAAAAAATATAACCATTTATTACAGCTAAAAAGAAAGTTTATCATATTCCATAGTTGTCTAGATGATTATTTACACCATCTAGAAATTTCAATGGTTAGGGTGTGATTTTGTTTTGATTTTTTTCTTGAATCTTGGTAGATATAAAGAAGATCTAAGCTGTTGGGAATGGACAGGAGCATCATGGTCATTGATCTAGGCACCTATTATCTTGATCAATATAAAGATGAATGTATGAAAGAGTCTAAAAGAAGACAACTTAAGCATGTTGTTCTTGAGCTATTATTGGGATTGGTCATTATGGTAATTTTATTTTTTTTGAACTTTTGGAGACAACATAACAATTGTAATGGTTGGATTTTGTTGGGGGGAATCATTAATGCATTTTAGGAAATTTTTGGGGGTATTTTGGTAAAAGAATAAAGGTTAAAATTGGGTTGAGAATTTCTTCCATTTCACCCCTAACCATCTTCAATCAAATCATATGATTTCCACACCTTCTTCACAATGATCCTTAGTTTTAGAATTATTTATTATGATCTTTAATCAACCTTCAAACTTAAAATATCTTTCATTTAAGCACCTAATTGCACCAATTAGGCTATCCAAAACTTTATTTAAGTCTTTGATCTTTCAATTATTGTATATTGACTTGAATTAGGCATTCAAACTTAATTTTTTTTCAATTAAGTCCTTAATTAAGTCAAACCCATTGAAAGTTTAATTGAGCTCTTAAACTTAATTAATTCTTTCAATTTTGGACAAATCAACTTTTAAACTTAATTTTCTTTCAATTAAGTCTTTAATTAAGTCAATTAAACCTATTAGAACTTTAATTAGGCACTTGAACTTAAATAGTTCTTCCAATTTTGGTCAATTAACTTTCAAACTTAATTTGGCTTCAATTAAGTCCTTTTTCAACCTATATCGTCAACAATATTTCAATATGATTTTTCTTCTAGCGTTTTGACCTATTGTAGCTTAAACGCTTCTCTATTTGTGTCCCAAAAATATTAGGCTATCCAAAACTTTATTTAAGTCTTTAATCTTTCAATTATTGTATATCTTAATATTTTAGATTTTGAATTTATCAATTTTTGAATATCTTAATATTTTTAAAAATGTATTTTTTACATAAAAAAGTGTTGGGAAATCCAAAATTGCATTATGACAACCATAGTGTAGTTCATGATCAATATTGTGGGTTTGATGGGTTGACTTGAGTCAATTGAGAATTGGATTTCATAATTTATTTTGTTTTGTTTTTTTTTAATGTTATTGTGGTCTCAAAAAAAAGTTTTGGCATTGAATAATGCTTGATTTTGTGAGTATCTATTTTTATTATCATATAATTAAATAAAAATTATTTAAAAAAATTATTAAACTCAGTAGAGTCTATGACTCGAGTCATGGGTTTAGTGAATTAAGCAGTGAAGTCGTGGTCGATCTAATATATCATTATGTTAGTATTTAAAAAATGTTAAATCTCAAGTGTTTTTTAAGCCAAATCACATTTTCAGCTAGTCGTCCAAATTATCTATGAACCTGCTAAGTTAAATGGGTCATGTTGGGGTAAATTTTTCATAATTTAATTTGAAATCTAGGAAAAACAAATAGTCAAATCAGGATATTTCAAAGTTGATCTACGAAACCAAGTTTAATAATAATATCAAATAATTCCATAAACATTTAGATGAGTAAAAAAAAATGAATCCAACCAGTAAAATAACACATTCAAGTTATCTAGTTATATATTGTTAAAAAAAGCGAAAAAACAATAGAAAATGCTCAATTTTTTGTTGCGTGATTAAATCTATTACTCATGTTTAGTCAAAAACAAGTTATCCATTAGAGATTACATACTGTTCAAAAACCAGATATTGTAGAAAATGTGCGATAGTTAACAATTTATTTGAAGAAAAGTTATTTGAAATCAATTCTCTATTATAATTGAATTTAATTATAACATTCAATTTAAATTCAATTTATAAATAAATTGAATTTACATATTTAAAAAAATATAATTCAATTTATTTTATTTTGTATATTATCATCATCAACTTCATCTTATTCCTTTAAATGTCTATTAAAAAATAAGAGTGAAATCAACCCTCTCGATATCAGTCCTTTTCTTCTATACTTGTTAACAGCTGAACGAGACATTTTTTGGTATTCTTATTCCTTCCTCCTCACGAAACTTCCTTGCAACTTATTTAATACATACATACATACATGCTAACATTAAAGTAATTGTGTCACAGCTACGTCGTTACTATTTATTAATTGCTTTTCTCCTTTTCTGGTTTGTCTCGATGAACAAATATATATTGTAGCCACAATACTAAACTATACTATAGTTACAAGCATGAGATATAATTAAAAACCTATAATTATTTAAATCAATTCAACGAGTTATTCGATTCGGAGAGATCCAAAACATTCCGTAAAGATGAAGAATCTGATTCTCAAGAAAGCTGAATAATGGAGATGCTACCTACTATCACTGGCAAAATTATATAAAGGTAGACGTGTGTTCAACGACAGTCGGTCCATACCACCACATATTGTAGATGAGTAAAGCACAAAGGAATATATACAGAATAGACAACAATACATTTTCATCACTGGATGGATAAAGAAGAAGAAAAAAGGTCAAGAACCAGCATCTGAAAAGTAGGGTGAGTGTGGCTACAAGATCAAACCCAACCTTGTTTATATCGCCGGAAAAGGTCTTCAGTTTGGGCATTTTTGAAAGCACTGCAGGCAATGACATAGACCCAAATGAGCACCACCACCGCCACGATGAGGATTACATTGACCTTCCTCCATTCTCTCCTCAGGTTCCCCAGCAATCCAGCCTTGCAAGCGTTGCAATTGTAGCATAGCTGGTTCTGGTCATTGTTCCACAAGTAGCAGTCCGGGTCCGCTGCTGGGTTCACTGGGTTTAACCACAGTGTAGGGTTCACATAATTGTAGCCACAAACTGTTGGAGGCTTACAGCACCCTGACTGTAACAAGCAGTAATTTCAGAAACAAAAATCATGATTTGCTATAAATTAAAAGGGAGACAAAAGGGAAGCATGGCACAGCATCACACCAAACAATTTCAAAGCTGGCAGCCATACCCTGCGTTCTTTTCTCCTCTACCCAATGAAGACAAAACTACGTGGGTTCAATAATGTAAGATTGATTGCTTTAATATGGTCTGAATTCCATGATCCCTCTTCTTAATAATTGAGTTAGCCACTTGTAACTGATCTATGTGCACAAACCCCCCCTCCTGGGCTCACTGTGGCAGCCATCTTTCAATTATGAGAGCATCAAAAAGCGCCCCCACGCGCCATGACATGACTCTATCTAATTTCTCCTAACAATAATACATACATTATCGAATGATCAAGCTGATTATGATTGAGATTTGACAAAATTAAAAAACATATCAACGTCCACATCGAACCGTTTGAAATAATAATAATATTTAATTGTTTTTTAAAATATTTTTATTTAAAAATATATTAAAATATCATCATATCAAAAAAATATTAATTTAAAATAAATAAATAAATAAAATTATAGATAATTTCAATGGAATTGTATACATGTCATGTATTATTATTATTATTTTTTTATTATTTTATTATTATTATTATTATTATTATTTTTTATAGGGAAAAGTGGATCTGGTTCGTAACAGCTTCCAATTCATCCACAAAGTCATGTCCTCTTCCAGCAATCCCCAGGCAAATACATGACCGATCCATGACATGCGGTATAAATTAACGGCTGTTTTTTATTATCTCCTCTCTTTCTTTCTTTTTCCTTATATTTTGTGAATTCAGATAAAAAAATAACTCTAAAAATACATATTAAAACACCAATAACAATACTACTAATATAATTAAAAATGTTTTAACAATATAAATCCATCAACATAAAAAAAATCATAAATAATAAATAGAGTTAATCACACGAGTTATTAAAAAATATCAAGATTAATTTACTTGACTTTAAACCGCTAGCATGGTCCACTTTGATAATCACTGATAATCTTTTCTGATATTATCGTATTCATTTTGATAAAATCTTCTGCTTAATAGTAGTGGTGATATCATTATTAAAATTTCAGGACGTCTCCAAGATATTTTTTTTTCTTCCTTTTTAATTCATTTTTTTTTTAATATTATGTAGAGTAATTTTATAATTTGAGAAAATTTGCAACTCACAAATTACAGATCTCATTTATAATTCTCTAAACATGTTATTTTCTAAATATATTTAACACTATTATTTTATCATTTTTTTTTCACTACGTTAGAATACCAAAGAACTTCCATATTGTATACATGTACTGTATTTTTATTTTATTTTTTTACAGGGAAAAGTGGGATCTGGTTCGAAACAGCTTCCACTTAATCCACACAGTCATGACCTCTCCCAGCAATTTCCAGGCAAATACATGGCCGCTCCATGACATGCGGTATGAATCATAAATTATGCTTTTTAAAGGGCTTTTAAATGACTGTATCTTCAGTAGAAAAACACAAAAAGCATCAATGACTTAAAAAACACTTTTACAAATTCACATTCATACAGATCATTACCAAACACAAGTTTAAAAAATAATAATTTAGTAGGTGAATTAATGGTGTCAGATCCTCCATAGTTTTAGCGGCAGCCAGACTTGTGACGCCAGATTATGCAGTAGAAAAGTTTTGTTCTTGACAAAAAATTTGACAGGTTTAAGCACTTAAGCGAAGGATAGAAAATTAAATTAATACCCAAGCATAGCACTTATAGCTTACAAGTTTTAACTTTGAATTGCTTCGCACAGAAGAAATCATGATCTAAACCAATTCATATATGTATTGGGAAAGACATGAACTTGTATAAAAATGAAAATTATAGAAGAAATTAGAAAGATGGTTGTTGATATATAATTACCTGGAGAGGAGAGATGTGAGCCATGAAGAACTGGTCAACAGTGATATAATTTTGAGTCAGCTTGGAACAAACATCAGTCTCAGCAAGACAAGGCCTAATCTTGTCCCAATTATTGGAATAAACGATATGATTCCTCAACCAAGAAGAAAATCCTTCAAGCCTATACTCTCTATAACCCCTCCCAGGCACATCATAGCCACCATCGGCGCGCGTGACCACAAAAGCGAAGACCAGAAGGATTAAGAGAAGTCCTATGAGAATGGCCATGCAGCAGAGATAGAATGCTAAAAGTGTTTCCTTATACCAGTAGGCACCGACAAAACCAGCAAGTGAGACCAAGAGGATAAGGAATCCAAGAAGAACTACAGGCCACCGGAAAAGGTGGATGCATTCATTGTCTGGTTTGGACGCTAGCCAAATGCCAGCGGCTATTATAGGGATTGAGCAGAGAAAGGCTATGAAGTTTAGGATGGCTGTGATGTTGTTGGCTACTCCCATCTTAATTGCAGGGTTTTGGACTATGTTTGTGATCTGTGAGAAGGCAAAGGGAAAGGGAAAGAGTGGTGTTGTGTTTAAGAACTTCAGAATTTAGATAGACTTAATCATTTTGGGTGGTTTTACGTTGGCCGTCTGTTTTATCACGAGCCTACCTATGGCGCTGTACAATTGGGCTTATGGTAGATTCCTGTGTTGGAAAGTAGTTAACATGGTTTAAAATATTTTTTTTAGAAGTATTTTAAAAAATATATTTTAAATATTAATATATTAAAATAATTAAAAAATATTAAAAAATTAATTATTTTAAAAAGAAATTACATTATTTTGTGCTCAAGTCTCCTTAATTTTTAAAGTAACTAAAAATTGAAAGTACAAAGTTTAATATGACCAAATTATTTATAAAGAGTCCAAATTGATTAAATTCCAATAATAAAAGGAAAATTAGTGATTTTTAAATATTAATTAAGGGGATCCTATAAAATTTAACATAATAATCCAATTTTAAATAGAATAAAGTTGTAGGAGATAAATTGTAAAATTTTTAATTGAGGAATCAACTCTCAAATAAATTAATTCAATGAAATTTAAAACTTAACTAACTCTTTAAGTATATTTGAAGATATTTTTGGTTCAAAATTAATTGTTTTTTTGTCATCACCACCCCAACTTTTTTTTCTAGTCCTTTAAATAAGATAAACATGCTATATTACTATAAATTTATATTTTATTTAATTGAAATAAAATAATTATTTAGGTTGAATTTTAGGTTTATGTTGAGTTTAAAATTTTTTATATTAATATGAAATTAGTTAATAATGTAATTTTTTAAAGTTGATTTGATATAATTAAACATAAAATAACTTAAATTATTTATGAAATAGTATTTTTAATTAATTATATATTGTGGTTAATTGATATTAATTTTTTTAAAATAGAGATTTTATATGTATTATTGGAATTAGCTATTAATATAATTAAATGGGCTTGATGATTTAAGAGAGCATGAGTGCAATATTTGCATGACAGATTGTATTTTTAATTGAATTGTTTAAAAGTTCATAAATTCAATATTTTTTTTGAATTATATTAATTTATTATGAATTTAGAATTGATTTAATACAATTGAATATGAAATATTAATCAAATTTTGTTTTATTATTGGTGAGATTTTTTTAATGTTAAATTCTGAAAATTTGATTATATTTGATATAAATTTTTTCAATTAATGTTAGTGTAATACAATTTAGTTATAATTACATCCAATTGACTTGAATCTAATATAATCTAATATATGTTATGTTTTGTTTCTTTACAAAATATTTTATAATATGTTTATATTATATCTACAATGATATTATTATTCATGCTTTAAACAATAACACCACAAATATGGGGAGGAGTAGTTTGTTATGTGCATAAATAAATAAAAATTATTTTTTATGAAATTAGATGAAATTATAATGATATAATATTAAAATAACTTGAATGTTACATATTGATAAACATTAGCATTGTTTTATATTAATTGTATATATTAATAACTATAAAACAATAATTTATTCTTTCATTTAAATTAGTTTAAACACGATTAAAATATTTCATTTCTAAACCATGATTTTCACATGTTATTTCACTAAAAAAAATTTCATCCTATATTACTTTATTTTTCTTTTTACTAATTACCCAATTTATCAGACAATATTCTTAAGAAGCACCCAAACAAACATTATATAAATACAATCTTGTTACATGGCAGGGCTATGATGATTGTGTAGAAGGTCCTCTTTTTGGGTAATTGTTGTAAAATTGCTGGTATTAACAAGAGAAGGCAGAAGGGAGAGGGTACTCGTGTGATTTAAGGAATGCTTAATGAGTGTCATGTCACTGTCATCTTGTTGCTTTTTGACTTCTACGCTGTCATCAACTATGATGGGCTATTAATTTCTTCCGCTTGTTTTTTCTTTATTTTTATTAGGCTATTTCCCGCTCTATCACTTTAGCTTGAATTAAAAAAAAAATGAAATGTTAAAAAGAATAATATCCTTTTCCATTGTTATTAAATTTTAGTATAACAGTTAAAAATCTTAACTTAATTCTTTACTTATTTGTGTGTTAGGTTTTAAATTATATCATGTTAAAGTGTCCTGATATAATTTTATTTATTAAACAAGTTTAATAGTTTTTAAGAGAAAGGTAAGTTTCCATCTCAACCATAATAAAATCTCAAGGGATAATACATTACAAATGCAAGTAGTTCTAGAAGCTATTACATGGATCAAGTCAAATCAGTCATCACTTTTCGCAGTGGTAAGGTTATTGAAAAACCCACTTTTGAACCTTGTGAGAAAGATGATGAGTTAATCTCGGAGGGTAAGGAAGGGGTTGAAGCTAAACATTGCAAAGAAAAGACTAATTCCTCGCCAGCACTTTCATTTCCTCATGCCATGACCAAACAAATAAAAGTCAATCACAACTCTGAAATATTTGAAACTTTTAAACAGGTAAGGATCAATATACTTTTGTTGGATGCTATTAAACCGGTACTTTCTTATGCTAAATTTTTGAATGATCTGTGCACTGTGAAGAGAAAACTGAATGTGAAAAAGAAAGACTTTTTAGCCGAACAAGTAAATGTCATTCTTCAGAACAATAATGCTTTGAAATATAAAGATCCTGATTGTCCTACAATTTCATCCTTTATTGGAGAACATAAAATTGAAAGAGCTTTAGTTGATCTCGGAGCTAGTGTAAATTTACTTCCATATTCAGTCTTTTAAAGTCTCAATCTGAGTGAGTTAAAATCAACTTTTGTAACTCTGTTATTTGCTGATAGATCTGTAAAGGTGCCTAGAGAAATAGTTGAAGATGTGTTAGTATAAGTTGATAAATTCATTTGTCTTGTGGATTTTATTGTCCTGGATACACAAACTATTGAATCATGTAATTTAATTCATGTTATTTTAGGATATTGATTTCTTGCAACTTCTAACGCATTGATTAATTGTAGGAATGAACTAATGAAGTTATCATTTGAAAACATGACATTAGAGATGAATATTTTCAACATTTGCAAGCAATCTAGAGATAATAATGATTTACAAGAAGTGTACTTTATTGAAAAATTAGTTCATGATCAATTTAAAACTATTTCTAGTGAAATTGAGTTTAATGAATCTAAGAATTTATAAATGATTTATTTTCAGGAAGAATCAAAGGCAAGTAATTGGAGACCACAAATTGAAGAGTTGCCATAACGATCAATTGAGTCTATACCTTCATGTGTTCAACCACCAAAACCTGATTTACCATTCAATCTCAAATACTCATTTTTTAGGAGAAAATGAAACTTTTCCGGTAATAATTTCTTTCAAACTTAATGCACATCAAGAAGGTAAATTATTATAAACTCTAAAAATGCATAAAAATGCATTAAGATAGACCATAACTAACATAAAAGGGATTAGTCCTTTGATTTGCACACACAAGATTTATTTATAGGAAAATGCTAAATCCTTTAGAGAAATGCAACGAAGGCTCAATCCTAATATGAAAGAAGTAGTGAGGAATGAAGTCATTAAGCTTCTAGATAATGAAATCATTTATCCTATTTCTAATAGGAAATGGGTAAGTCATACCCAAGTTGTAACTAAGAAGGCTGGAGTCATTGTTATAACAAATAAGAAAAATGAGTTAATTCCAACTAGAACTGTTATTGGTTGGCGCATGTGCATTGACTATAGGAAACTTAAATTCAATGACTAGTAAAGATCATTTCCCCTTACCCTTCTTAGATCACATCTTAGAAAGAGTTGCAGGTCATGAATTTTATTGTTTCCTAGATGGCTATTCAAGTTATAATCAAATTGAAATTGTATTGGAAGATCAAGAGAAGACTACTTTCACATGTCCATTTGGTACTTTTGCATATTAAAGGATGCCTCTTGGATTATGTAATGCACCAGCCACGTTTCAAATATGCATGCTTAGTATATTCAATGATATGGTTGAATGTTTTCTTGAAATTTTTATGGATGATTTTTCTGTTTTTGGTGATTCATTTGATGATTGTTTGACTAACTTAGAAAAAGTTTTGAGCAGGTGTGAAGAGAAGAATCTTATGCTGAATTGGAAAAAAATATCATTTTATGATAACAAACGGCATTGTACTTAAGCACATTATTTCCTTGAAAAGAATTGAGGTTGACAAATCTAAAATCGAGTTAATTGCCAACTTGCTAACACCAAAATCTGTTAAAGATGTTAGATCATTCTTAAGACATGTTGGTTTTTATAGAAGGTTCATAAAAGATTTTAGTGTTATATTTAAGCCATTGTGTAACCTTCTAACAAAGAAAAATGTTTTTGAATGGACTGAATAATGTGAAAAGGCCTTTGTTAAACTTAAAAGCTTGCTTACTTCTACTCCTGTCATTCAACCTCCTGATTGGTCATTACGTTTTGAAATAATGTATGACGCTAGTGATTATGTCGTGGCTGCTGTTTTGGGACAAAGAAAAGATAAGAAACCTTATGTGATTTACTATGCAAGTAAAATTTTAAATAGTACTCAAATGAATTACACTACCATTAAAAAAAATTAATTGAAGTAGTATTTGCATGTGAAAAATTTAGATCTTATCTTATCGGCTCACCTGTTGTTTTTTTAGTGATCATGTAGCTTTGAAATATCTTCTTTCAAAAAAGGATTCTAAAGCTAGACGAGTATGATGGATTTTGTTACTTCAAGAATTTGATATCACAATCAAAGACAAGAAAGACATCAAAAATGTTGTTATGGATTATTTGTCAAGATTGACAAAAGATTCGAGATTTGACATCAGACCAATCGATGACTACTTTCCTGATGAATCCTTATTTTCTGTCTCTACAATACCTTGGTTTGCTAATATTGTTAATTTTCTTGTTTCAAGACATTTGCCAGCTCATTGGAGTACCCAAGATAAAAGAAAGTTCTTGAATAAAGTAAAGAACTTTTATTAGGATAACCCTTATTTATTCAAATATTGTCCTAATCAAATATTTTGAAGATGCATTCCTGACAATGAGGTAAGTAACGTCATTAAATTTTGTCATTCTAAGGCATGTGGGGGTCATTTCTCATCAAGAAAGACAACTG